AGGACAGAGCAGAAGTGTTCTTTCTGCTCTAACACACCACTCAAGACAGAATGCTTCACTTACAGTCACCAGAATGTGTGGTGATTCATCCTCACAACCAGTTCTTGGGTGTACACTAACTGGGTGTCCTGTAATTCAATTCATTTCTGACACTGTCTACCTGTAGTTAGAGTCAGAACCCACAGCATAAGTGGTGAGTTTCCAGGACTACTCCCACTTCAGGTGCCAATCACAAGTAGTAGATTGTCACCTATTCTTCTAACCAGCTGCTTTTAAACCATGTTCCTGTGACCCCCTACTCTGATTTGATCGTTTTGCTAGGACGGCTCACAGAACTCAGGGAAACACTTATTTACATTTACCAGTTCATTATAAAGAACATATCGAAGGGTGTAGGTGAAGAGCCAGATGAGGAGGTACATGGAAAGGGGTGCAGAGTTTTCATGACATCTCTTGGTACGCCACCCTCCAGGAACCTCCATGTGTTCAGCATTTGAAAGCTCTCCAAATTCTGTAGCTCAAGCATTTTTATGGAGGCATTGTGTAGTCATGATGGATTATTGAGTCAATCTCCAACCCTGTCCACTTCTAGAGGGTGTGAGTTAAGGCTGAAAGTTCCAAGCTTCTAATCTTGCCTTGGTCTTTTTCATGACCAGCCCCAGTACAGGCAGTTACCTCATTAGAACAAATCGTGCTCCTACTTCCCAGGAAATTCCAAGGGATTAGGAGCTTTCTGTCAGGAACCAGGGAAGAGAGTAATATGTGTATTTCTTCTTATTTCACAAGGTCCCTCAGCTATTCTTCCATTATGTTTTTTTCATATTTCACTGGCGTGTGTAATAGAGGAGTAAGCTGTCTCTTCTGCAATTGTTACTCAATTGTCTACTGCAATTGAAGACGTGTAATGAGACTCAACATAAAGATCCTGTATTTTATTCTCTGTTCTACATGGGGAGCATATCTCACTGGGATGATGCCTCTGTTTTTATTTCTACTGTCATTTTTTTAAGCCACTGCTAATTTTCTTTTATGTTTTCGTGTATTATGAAAAAACTTTTTTTTTATTCAATTAACTACCAGCTCCATATTTTTTATGATACTCTTTGTGTTCTTTGTTTTATATCTGCAGTGTGTGGAACAGTTGTATCAGGGAATATTGATTTATATATTTTGGTTAAAAATTTCCTTTTTTAGTGCAGAGGGCATGGCTCCACAGGAGTTAATCTTATCACCTATGCAACCTCAGAAGCTTTTTAAAGATAGTCATAATTTGTGGGGGCGCTTTCTGGGGTCCTCCCGCAGACCCAGAAGGAGAAGGAGCCGACAGGATTACCCAGGGTGTTGGGACCAAGGGATCTCGGGGAAAAGTGAGCCTGCTGCCCACCAACCCAGCCCCGTGAAAGACACTCAGACACGGCAGGGGTGCTGTCAGGGCAGTTCCACTTTATTGCTGTTACACTGCAATTTATATAAGCAAGCAAGTAGGGGCTTTACATGAACTAACCAATCAATTAAAGGATCATGCGGGCATGCATTTTGTACTCACATGTTGAGCATAGCGATCACGCAGGGTTCACAAGTGCGGAAATACTGGAAAACCAATAAAAACGTTTTGGAGCTATCTTGGGTTACCCTCCCCTACTTCCTGCGGGTGCCATCTTCATCCTCCACCCATAGGCACCATGTGGCTCACAGATAATGTTTGCTCCTAAAAATGGGCCCAACAATAATTATTTCTTTTACTACTGTTTTATCTGACCTAATACCTGCTATTAAAGTACACTATTATAAATTAATTACAGCCTGTAAATTGGTAGTCTTTGATATCTCAGAAATATATTCTTTTGTTATTAATTTCCTATCTTAATCTTAGAAATAACATTTAATTGACTTGTCATAATTTGTTCTTTAGGATACATTGCGTTTTTTATAGTAGATTTAAAATTTTCTATATGTAACTGTGGTCATTGTTTAAATTTCACTTTTTGTTTCTTGGAACAAATGGTATATTGTAATAATTACTCTTCCTGTCTAGAATCATGATGTTCATCTTGGTATACTAAATTAATATTAAAATATGTCATAATATTTTACCGGAAATTTAGCCCACTTCTTGCACTTCATGGACTTCTTCACTGTTGTTTTTATCACCTGTATTTTCTTCAACATTTCTAAAGTTCTGGAAGTTACATTCTTGAGTTTAACAAATGAAGACTGTTTTTTTTCTTATCTTTTTTTCCATCCGAATTTTCTGTAATGGTTACCTGGTCCCTGTGAACCCATGATCTAGCAATGTCGTGTTGTTCTCTGCCTCTTATTTGCTGTTTATGTTGCTGATGACCTCCCCTGTGG